AATCGAAAATAGGGGGGGTGCTAGTGAATTAATTTCAGTTACTGTTGGAATGGGTAAGCAGGCCTATTGTTTTTGGATATTTGTGGAGTTAGGTGGTCCATGAGTGTTTTTTATTGGTTACCAAGTCCCTGGTATGAAAAAGTTTGAGAAACACTGCGCTAGTGGATTGTCAAAGGGGGAGCCTCGTTGCGGGGAAATTATACAGATGGCTAGTCCGCCCCTGAAAATGTCTATGCAAACGTTATTATGAATAATAATTTAAAAACAATTATTCTAAAAAAAATTAATCAATTTTTTTTTATTTTCCATTTTTATTTTGTGATCATCTTGCGACCCCCACTTTGGGAACCCCTGTACTAGAGAAGGGTGTCTCAACCATCTAAGCAAAGAAACCCCCCTCTGTTTAGTCTTTGACTTGTTTAGTACTAGGTTTGGAAAAGATATGATAGCTAAATGAATCTTGTAGTTTCGGAGGGCTTTCAGACTTAAAGATAGTATGAAGATACTTTCTCATGCTCCTTAGCAGACTCCTACCTTTTTTCATTCGTCCATGCTTTTTCAAATCTATTTTCTTTGTCTTTACGCTTAACATTAGATCTGTTTGAACTATTCAATTGAACATTTTTCAGTTTCACAGACATTTAAAGACATTGTACCTTGAATTTTTAGAAACTAGGGTGAACATGTTCACTATTTTACTACCTTTTATCGACCAAACAATGAAAACAATCGGGAGATGCCTCGATAATGAACAGTCATTGCCCCTCCAACACTATTATCAATGTGTTTTCCTTAATCAACCTTGCCTTGAATTTGAGTATTGTTGTATTCACCTGCTCAGTGAGTCAATTTGTACACCTGCATAGCTGCAGCTCCTATACTGTGGTCTGATGTAACACTCATATTTGAAAGCCTTTTAATGTAACACCACATATGATGGACATATTTCCTGGTCAAAGTTCAGTTAAAGAATCCCATAATGCATCAGGGATCTCTCCTCCTGCTGTCAGCCGAGGGTCACACTAGACCTCAGTGGAGGAGGATGTTCCAGGGTCTGCTTCTAAAGGAGTTCAGCTGACTTCATTAACATTCAGCGGAGGAGCTGAGAGCGTCAGAGCAGCCCCCCGCTCCCATTCCCCTTCTCCACTGTCAGAGAGGTCATCACCGCTTTGTACAGCCTGCCATGCTGTTGCTCCTCTAATTCAGTTTTTGCCCAGCTAAAGGAAAGTGCAGATGTTCAAATGTCTCTTTACTTAGAGCATTAACCATTTCACTTCACTCCTTTCAGACTGTGTTCAAAGAGAACAAACATCTGTTTTGTAGCTTACACTCTTCTTCGTTACCATTTCAAAAAATGTAGGATTAAGAGATTACATTTAATACATGAGTTACTTTTAATATTGGCTTCTCAAAGAAATGCAGACATGTGATTTGAATCGTCTTTGAGTCAAAGCATTCACCTTAGATGTTATGCCCTGATTTACTTTATTCAAAGTCATTGTTTTTTGTCATAAACCTGAGCAGCAGATACGATAACGGGGCTCTTTGATAGTTCAAACTTCAAGATACAGCTGCTTGTTATCCGTGTACTTTGGTCTTCATGTGTCGATTCACTGCACAATGCTACAAGCCCACAGAAATGATTTGGCCCTCTTTGGGGCTAAACTGAAACTAACTACTCAGCCGGACAGAGGCTAGCTTTGAAAACATATTGAGACAGTCAGTTTATTAATATTAGTTGAATTCCCAGGCTGAAGACCACTGGTGTTTCACTTCAGTCCTTCGTGTGTGTCTTCTTTAAATGTCTTTTTGTTGTATACGAACGCCATGTTTTCTAGAAGTCACCACATACTTTCCAACTAAGGAAAGCCATGTGTGTTAGAATTAGAAGTCAATCTCTCTCACTCTTTTTCTGCTGCTCATTATCCAAACTCAGGCTGGACCTGCTCCAAGGTCAGAGCTGTGAGTCAATGGCCCAGATTTTCTATTCGCCGCCGCCCCTCCCTTTTCTTATCCTCTGTCAGCGCTTTCACAAGTTCACCCTGCAAGCTCAAGTTACGAGATTAGAAAGAACCAGTCATGTTCTCGTGGTTGCATCGAAAGCCAGAGAGCGACTGACAGACATCGAGTAGGTTTTCCAAGTATGATTTTTTTTAATTGTATTTCAGGGAAAGGGTGTGTCTGACTTTGTTCATGAGTCATGACTATGCCGCCTTCAGTCACTCAGTTTTACACATTCACATCTGAGAGCTTCTCTTTAAAGGTGCCCTGCTGTTTGCCCCTGAGCAGCTACACCTGAACACATGAACACATCAAAGACTTTCATAAAGGACATAGGTGTTGTTGAAAGAATGAAGAGTAACCCAAGATTTAGAAACGTACAGATCTGCCTGACATGTATTCAGAACTTGGTAATAATAACTTTACAATAGATGTTGATAGATTAGTAAACGTGTTATTGAGGTGGCCTTTGTGTGGGAGTCATTTTCCCCCAAATCTTCCAGTAATGACTAATCTGGGACTTGCTGCTCTGAAAGCCTAAGCCCTTTCCTCTGGCTGCTGCCTGCAAAATGCCTAGTGTGTGAGTATAGAAAAATATAAGAAGAGCTCAAAATTCTTCCTACAAAAAAGTCAGACACCGGAGGCCATCAGCAGCCAAATTCATTATCTGTGTTATTCATAAAAGAAATGGACTTTGCCTGAAGCATCTCTCAAAAGCAAACAGGGCTTTTAAAATTAGCTTTTGACCAGGATTAATGTCTGTGTGAAAGGGACAGGCTCTTTATTGCGTTTGCCCCCGTTTGCCCTACTGGTGTACTTAACCCAAAACATAGTGGATAGAAGGACTTAACACAATGTCACTGCACAGATGCTCTGTGACACTGTTCCCACGTTGCAAGCTGTTCTAGTAGACTAAGTTGAATGAATTGGTAGAGAAGATGTATACACACTTGATTGAACTGATGCAAGTTTATGGCCTTGAAGTATGTGTTTGAATGTATTGCGTACAAAAGGTGAGTACATTATTCATGACATAAAGTTCATCCTTTTAGCAGTATAAGTTTAGTGGCTAGTACTACTTCTTTTTCTGGGTTGATGCATGATTAAAGAAGTATATACGTATACCATAAAGCACACCAACACAATGCAAGTATATATAAGTATCATTATTAAAGCAGACTGTATAAAGTAATGGTATTCTGCACATGTACACAGGGAACCTTGATTGTGCATCACTTGCCAAAAGCACTCAGTCGCCTCGTTCCCCTGACGCCGAGCAGATGTTGGCAGCTGTCAGAGTGACGCCACACGGAAGAACAAACAGCTGGAGGGGGTTTGGGAAATGCCACCCGCTGCCAAAGCACGGTGTCACTGTTAATCCCTTGGCTCTAAACTGACACACACACATTCACAGTCCTATATGACATGTACAAAAAGATACATGTACATCCACAGGGCAAGAGATCTGGACAATCAGTTTTACGATGAACAAAAAGGCACAGAATGCTCCAGCTACAATGTTTACTACTCCGGTGTTGCCCTTTTGGTTACTGCTAAACTTTTGCAAATGTGGAACATGCATCAACTTGAAGCCACATCTTAGCTGTAGGATATGAAGCACCTTTCCTGCTGTCGTATCCTCGAGTCAGGTCAATAACAAAAGTATCTCCTTCATAACATGATTAATAATTATTGGACTTTTTAAAAAATAACCGACGCCAAGAAAGGTATGTTTTTTGGTTTGTTTGCTTGTCAGCCGGATTACGGAGACAGTCCTAGACAGATCCATGAAACTAGATGAAAAGGTTTATGCTGCATGAGCCAACGAAGAACCCATCGTTTCTTTTGGAGCTGAGCCGAATCAGGGGGCGGATATATTTTCACTTTCGTTAACATTGATAGAGGATTTGGCAGAGGTTTGCGCTCTCCATCGACATCCATGTGTCACTTCTGCTGCAGTCGTCCTGTGTAAAGTAGTAAAGCTATCTGTCAGACAATAATGTAAGGTTACAATAACAAGTTAAACCGCATAGATTTCTATCAAAAATGACTTCTGATTCATTCAGCAAGCCTCTGCTGCGGTGAGGTCTTTTAGTCGTGGCGCTCGTGTGCTCGTAGGCTGTTGATCCTGTGGAGAACCGAGCTGTGCCCTTGTCACATTTTCAGGGGCAGACTGCCAGACTTAACTCCAGGCCTGTGGCATTACCCAAAATGGCAGCTCTCAGTTTGGCTGCCTCTCATGGTGTGTGTTTCTGAGCCTGGCTGTGTCAGAACTGTTGAATATCATGTCGTTTTCAGAGGCTACAGTTGTACAATATGGGCTTGTTGGTGAATTAGAATTGTTCCATCTAGCTTGAACTCCCCCCCTGGTTAAGATGATGACAAATATAGAACAGTCAAGCAAATATGAGTCCAATCATCATAGAGCATGATGTCATACATCTGGTCAATTAATCCAGATATGATGTCAGTTATAATATGCTCTTCTAATTCTTTATATGTGTGCGCTGTTCAATGCTTCCCTTCTATTTCAAAGTATTGACTCAAACATTAAACTTGTGAAATAAGCATGTTTACTTTGTGCACTGAACGCAGGACACATGACAAATGGTACAAAGGTAATAATTTTGCAAAGACTGTTAACCAAAGTGCTACATAGGGAGTTAATTTTCTTCTATTTAGGATTCCCCAGCAGTGTCTCTTTTCCCTTCATCTTTAAGCGTGTGAATGCTTCTCTGTGTCAGCGAAGTCAATAGTATTGACTCATGTTTACGCTTGATTTCAAATTCTTTTCTTCTTTCCCCACAGAGCGACCATAGAGGAAGTGGAGGGGGATGTGTGTGAGTTGGAATCCAAGCTCGACAAAGTGAGTACCACCCATGGAAAACATTGCTTGATTGTTCATTTGTTCTACTGTTTGAACTGACGGAGGCCGTCCTGTGAGTGGAAAGCTGAAGGTTTGTCTCAGATTGCCTTTTGAGTAAGATGATGTATTATTAAAGCACGACCAAATCCATTGTTGAACAGTGACTCTGAAGTTGGAGCAGACTTGTGTGACTTGACTTTCTAGGTAGAGTCTACCTTTCACACAGGAACCAGTAAAGTAGCCTTTTGTCTTTGTTTCCTGTTGATGGTTCAGATTATATTCTCTTGCCTAGGGAGCCGCATCAGAGTTCATCTCACTAATTGTTCTCAAATGAACCAAACTAAACTAATAAACCAACCAAGGTAACTAGAAGCACTCAGTATTTGTCCTTCTCTGAATGAAAAAGCAATCTCTCCTGCTGTCGACTCCCCGCAGAGCTGAGAGCATGTTCCCTAGCTGAGGGCGAGACCTGCAGCTTGGAAGAACCCAGTTTATTGTTTCTGGACTTACAGTCTTACAGAGTCCCACCCTCACTCCTCCTCCTCCTCCTCCTCCTCCTCCTCCTCCTCCTCCTCCTCCTCTGTGACTCAGCCCCGGCCTCACTTCCCCCTCTGCTCTGGAGAGGAAGGATCTGCTGGAGAGTGGGTGTGTCTGTGTGCATAAGTATGGCTGTGAGACTGTATGTGAGTGTGTACGTGTTTCTGGGTGGAGGCGAGAGAAAACGGGCTGAAGACCCCAGAGATCAACTCTTTCTTGAAGCTTCCTACCTGCCACGCATATACACACACAGCCATGTTGACTACATTGAACTTTTAACTGATCCAATATTAAATCTGTTCATAAAAGGACCACTTTCCTAAGAGACTGATGACTTTTAAATTATGTTACTTTTTATTTTTTATTATATATTTTTTTATTATATCATAACTTAGAATTTTTTTTTAAATGCATGTCACATATTTAGCATATGTAACATTAAGTTGCCTGTTGCTCTTTTTTTCCTGCTGTAACTACGCACATTTCCCCTACGTGGGACTAATAAAGGTATTCTGATTCTGTTTATAGCTTTCTTATTACCAGGTCAGTTTTGATTAAAACTTTGGTTCTATTTATGTTAAAGTGGACCTATCATGCTATATTTGAATAATATAGTGTAGGACCATACCTATATAAGGCATATTTATAATTTTTATTTTTCAAAATACCAAACAGATCATGCATTCTAGCATGGGGACACATATTCATGTATAAAAGATGTACAAAAGTGCATTTTGCATGATTGGTCACCTTTAAGTAAAATAATCCCTCATGGTGGTCACAGTTTGTTGCTCCTTTGAACGGTCTAACTGAAAGATGTCTGGACAACATTTAGTTAACACATGATTTACATACACATTACTGTATAAGACAAATAATACATTATTTTACTATGAAAACACTCATAGTTACCAGTCCAGGTCCCCTCACTAAACTTATACAAGCTTCCTGCAATAACTAATTAAAACTTTCATGAAGGTTATATGTTACGTTTTTGGTTAAAGAAGAGAGTTGATTCCATCCTTCGGTCATTTGTGAGGCGGAAAGAGAGAAAGTAATTATCTTGTGCAAAGGGGATCAAACAGGTGTGTGTGTGTGTGTGTGTGTGTGTGTGTGTGTGTGTGTGTGTGTGTGTGTGTGTGTGTGTGTGTGTGTGTGTTAATGCATGCGTTACGTGTATTTAGGTAAAAGATTAACATCAACCTTAACATGACCTACTGATTCTTTAAAAGTTTCCTGCGTAAGACAAGCACCTACAGTATTAGGTCACTTAGAAAGTTACATATTACCTTCTGACCTGTGCTGCTAAGACGGTTTTATAGGTATACCTAAATTAATGTAGTTTTCCTATTCTGTATTGTAATGGAATACCACAATTTGAGTGACAGCATTATTAATATTAGTTTAATGTGAGCGAAATTATTTGCTTGTGTTTTTATCTAATTTCAGATTTTACCCGTTAAATTATCAATTGATCAAATACTTTCTAGAAGGAAAGACATTACATTTGTGTTTGATCAGCTTTAATCTGTTAATCACTGACTAATCTGTTAAGGAGATTGCTATAAGAAAAGGAGTGTTTTGGGCTAAGTTATGTAGCTGCTTTGGCTGAAGAGGCATACGTAGGCTCTCTTTCATCTGCAGTGTGGGACTTGATGGAGAACAGCCAGTGTTTGTTGTGAGTTTACATAACCTGGAATTATGTTCGCCCCAAATGAGTCAGAAGGGAAAGAAGGGCCTGCTGTTAACCAGAAACTGACGTCAGTGTTAGTCTTTTGCTCTTCTTTGTTTCAATAAATCCCTCTGAATCTATTCCAAACAGCAAACTTGAAGTGTTTTTAATAAGACAGGATGTCCTGAAGAAATGCCCCACTTTGTTGTAGTTTCTCTTCACTAAGTTTTTCATCTTCTCTTTATTCTGTCAATTACTGCATTTCTTCATGTCTCTACTTTAACCCCCTAACCACCTGCCTCTTTCTTTTTCTCTCCCTAGTTGGTGAAGTTGTGCATTGGGATGATTGACGCTGGAAAAGCCTACAATGCAGCCAACAGGCAGTTTGTCAACGGGATCCGGGAGCTAGCCCAGCAGTCCAACAAAGATGAGGTCATAGAGGTAAACAAAAACACTTGATCTTAACCAACAGCATTACAGAGTGGGCGTGTTTCTCTTGTCATGTATGGGGGCAGTCTTTCATCCACCTTAAATTCAATGATGACATATTTGATAAGATTTCAAGTTATTAGTCGTATACAAAAAAACATAAACATTACACAAATTGACATAGTGGTTGATTCTTCCTGGTTCCAAGATATAGAGACCTGCACTGCCTCCGTTTGCACTCACTACCTCATGTCATTGTTTCAAGTATTTTCAATTTGCCAGTTTGAATCTATAAAAAGAAAAATGAGGCATAGTAAAACTTTGCACTGTCCACTGGGTCTTGCCGAGGTCAAGATGTTTTGTTTTGCTTTCTCACATTACTTTTGCATGGCGAGGCAAGCGCTTCCTCTCTGCCTTTGTGTGTCTCCCTCCCTCGGGTTACAGTTCAGCCTCTGAGTGTATTTGGTGGGAGCAACTTAGCCAAAAGAATTCTCTCCCAAAGTGTTATTGTGTCTCCAAAATACACCACAGTTCTCATGTAACAATACCTGTCCGACTTGTGTTTGTCTAGACATATGTGATGAAACATGTAGTAGACATTCGCCTCTTACTTTCTTTAATACAGGTAGTACCTCATAAATAGATGACATGTGCACTTTGTGATAAAGTTTGTGTTATTGATATTAAATACATGCCAATTCTCTTCATCTCTCTCATTTTATTCTCCCCACAGTCGAGTCTCACAAAGTTTGCTGAAAGCCTGCAGGAGATGATCAACTATCACACGGTACGCATACACTGCCATGTGAAACCGGATGTGTTTTTTTTATAACCCCATTTACAGCTGGTTGATGACAAAACTCCGCTGTGCCGACAGTCTGGAAGAGCTCTTTAACTGTCAGTTTGTATTTACTGCCCAGAAGGACAGCAGCAGACTACAAGACAGAGACACTGGGTCTGTGAGAGGATGACTAGGAGTTGAGAGGAATTGCTCTATAGAGAATTAGCATTACTGTAAAAATGTGCAAACTTTGGCTTATGTAAAATATGGTGAGACGCCTAAAACCCCCTCCTTTGATACATTTCTTATGTCAGAAGCATAGCAATGAAATCAATTCCCTGCCTCCCATATTGTGGAATCTGGGATATCTGTTGGAATGAATCATGTGCTACCGAGGTAAACATGTCCGTGGTCATTTTTTTTTTTACAATGTGGTTGTCATCCTGGAGACACAGGAAGAACCATAATAGGCTTCAGTCAGACTTTTCTGTTCAGTTTCATGTGTTTCCTGCATTGTCATCTGATGATCTCCACGGTCCAACCACTACTTGACGATAAATAACCATGGCTCCTTATTGATGAGGGACGTTATCCTCTCACGTCCCTCATCACGCTCTCCAAGGAGCCTGCTAGCACAGATCTAATGATGTGGACATTCTTTCCCAGAGTCCCCTTGGTAGTCTCCTAAGTCGTCAGTCTCTGGTGACACTGACATCCAGAAATGCAAACACAACTTTGTTTGTCCTCTCATTAAGACTCCCATGATGACAGAGATGAGGCACAGGGCGAGCTTGAAGCGCTTGTTCTATAGATGAAGTGTTTTGCTTGATCTCCCTTGTCATGTCTTGTTTCTTTTACGTTTGCATAACATGTTCAGAGCGCATCCCACTGTGTGCGACATGTTTGGTAGAACAAACAACCGAGCCAGGGGTGCCGCTACTGGGGTTTGACCTTTTTGAAGTCTTTATGCACGCCCGGGAACTTTAGCTGCTATTAATATGAATCCCTAAAATGGTTTGGGTTCACAAACTGGAATATGATTGAACAGACAAACTAAAATGAATTGTCTTGATGAGGCCACACTTCTACTAAATTGTTAAAAAGCCTTTTCTGCATATCTGCCATTGATGTTATCATTGCTACTGCCACAACTACGTATATGATTTGTGTGAGGCAAAATAAGTTAGAGGGACTTTTATTTGGATATATTTATTTTATGAATTGATCCGTTAATGACAGAAAATTCATCAGCTACTGTTTTGTTAAAGTCATTTTTAAAGCCAAAATGCCAAACATTTGGTGTTTGAAACTTTCCTAAGAAGAAAGTGAAAAAATGGATTAAATCAGATCGTTGAATGTGTAGTATATCAATTAGAGGTTTGGGCTAGTTTGGTTCAGGTTTCGTTTAATTTGGTTTTACAGACAGTATTGGTTCCACCTTAAATTCAGACTGTAACGTTCCCAGATTAAATGAGATACAGATCTATTTGAACCAAAAACCTGCAGCGTTGGCAGTCTACCCTCACTCAACAGGGAAGTCTTTCTTCATCAAATCTTATTAGCTTCCTTCACTGGACCCTTAAAGCCTCCGGCAGCCACAATGCCGGCCTGGGATTGTTACTCAACAGTGGAAACTGTGGTCGCATCAGCTGACTGTCAGATAGGTTTTTGCCGCTCAGCGATCTTTCAGCACATGATTCACTCAAACACAGAGCTCAATCTGTTTGTCACTCGGAGCCTCTCCCAGCCACACTGCTCATATTGTCTTGTCTGGCCGTGAAATCACTTCAGTGTTCAGGGTTGTTGTTTGGCCTTTTGCTTGGTAGCTCATTTTGAGGAGGCACGCAGGTTAATGAGACTATGACTCACTGGCAAAAATAAGCGAGTCGGGTCAATTCTCGTCCTTTCGTTTTTATGAGGGGAATGTACACACACAGCTTGTTTGCGTATATTTAGCTGCCTAATTGCAACCTGCAGTGTTACAAAAATCCCCCTAAACAGGGGTGCCATATGCTGACTGGAGAGTAAAATACATTTATCAGCTCTTTCCTGGTTTCCTAGAAGAAGATGTTTAATGTTGGAACTGTTCAACTATTGAAGCTTTTTAGCAAAGCATAAGCATTTACCGTTTCCTTCTTTCCTTCCTCACAGATATTATTCGATCAGGCCCAGAGATCAATCAAGATCCAGCTTCAGACATTTATCAAAGAGTGAGTATTCATTGAATAAAGATGGACAAGGCTGGTTATATCTCTGAGCAATCTGAGCCTTTGAAGAGTGGCCTAATTTTCTGTCCAATCTCTCCGTCATAACACGCTGCTGCACTTTTAGACTTTTACTCATGCTTGTATTCAGATCAACTTAAAATGAGGAAAACTGGAGTTAATATTCTTCAAACCCGTCTAAAACCTGGAGAAAATATTTACTAGCTATTGAATAGAGAAAGGCCTTTCTGGAAATTCTGAAAATAAAGCAGAAGCTGGGGGGATGTCACATATCTGATGGACAGATGATCAAGACATGGCATGCAAGTCATTTAATTACATAAAATATATTTTCTAGATAATATCTCCCTGTTTAAAACCTTCTTATACAGAACTGAATTCCAGACTGCTTGTATAAGTGCAGTAAGCAGTGGGGCCTTTCAGTTCATTTCATTATGAGGATTAGCTGTTTTTACCCCTGGCAAACCGAAGCTTAACGCCCACATCAGCAGCACTCATGCTTCTCAAAGACAGCTGGGATACATGTTCTCTCATAATGACTCGCTACCGTGCAGCCCTTAAACATTAATCCCATTTAAAAAATGTTGTCCTCCTCTTCAAGTCACCTACACGGACTCAGCACAAGTCCTGGGCCAAATAGTTTTAGCAAACAATTTTGTTTGTTTGAACCTTCCTGGATTTCCAGCTGACCAAGATATGAAACCACCTTTAACCTTTGTGTGTTCCTGTTGTCGGACCATGGTGCTGTTGCTTCACATCCAGAGATAGCTTTGCTTCCTCTTACATTTCAACTTTTCCCCTTACAACATTGTTGACAACGTAGAGACATGTCCAATTTGACCCTAGTCAGGTAGTAAATAAAAAAACTTTAAAACGTTATCCTTAAATTGTATGTAAATGCTGTTGCACCAGTGTAATAGTTGTGAAACCATCTATTTTCACCCAGCTCAATTAAAGACATATTTTTAGTGCTCAAAATGAGTGATCAGCAGCGATAAAAATACATTTGTAAAACTTTTTTTCTCACATCCATATACTTATAATAAGTACCTTTTAATTGATTTGACAACTGCCTGTTTGCCTAACTTAAATCCCCCTTCACTCAACTAATCAATACTTAAACAATATTTTAATTGAATGTATTTGTCTTAATAATCCTCTGTCCCCTGCATTTCTTTGACAGTGACCTACGTAAATTTAAAGAAGCCAAGAAGCAATTCGATAAAGTGAGCGAGGAAAAGGAGGCGGCGCTGATCAAGAACGCTCAGGCTCCCCGCAACAAGCAGCATGAGGTGGAGGAGGCCACCAACATCCTCACCGCCACGCGCAAGTGCTTCCGACACATCGTCCTCGACTACGTCTTACAGGTACAGAAACTCATCTAGGGGTTTACATTGAAGCACTCTTTAAAGGAGAGGTAATGAACAACATCTGCAAACGAGGTCACATTGTTTTAAGAGAAAAGTGTCAGGAGTCCCGTGTTGCACAAAATCTTTGGAAGCTTTTAAAAAAAGGCCAGCTAAGCAGAGTCGTGCGCAATATTCCTCTGCGTACCATTGCCAACAAAGCTCTGGATATTGAATTTATATGCTGAGTCAGGTTAAAAAAAAATGCTGACACAGAGAGGAATGAACAGCAGCTGTGTTCGCTTCTGTTAAATCTAAAGTGAAACACAGAATCTCATCCACCTGTCAGGTTCCAGTTAACCACATCGCAGTCAATTTGGAACAAAGAACAGTAGCAGCAGACCCGGGAGCAGCTGTTGAATTAGTAGCAGTGTCGACCAGAAGTGTAAACAGTAACCTGATAGTACATAGTTAGACTGTAAAGGTCTTATTAACGATAATAAGAAAACTCATGTATAGCAGTTCTAGAAGGATTTTGCTACATTTTATTGAACTATTTGTAAATAGAAATGGTATCAGAATGAGATAAGACACTCATTCATAAAAAAGGTTTTGAGAGGTTTTATCATCTGTGTAGTGTGAAATAACTGTCAGGGATTAAATCTTAAACGCTGCATATCTCCTTTTATGAAAATATGTTCCTTCTAGTGCTTAACATTCTCAATCAGTGTACGTCTTGTACCTTTTTTTTCTTCTGTCGAATCCAAACAGATGTCTTGTGCTCTGACCTTTTGCCATAAAAACTTCTCATTAATTGAATGCATCGGCCGCGCCCTCTGCATCTCGTCTTGGCCACAGCAGCAGCACTGATGAATGCTTCGTGCTCTCTGATAAAGCAGCTGCCAGCCCTGTTATTGAATCTCACTCCAAAGAAACAGACAATGCTCTATGGACACAGTCCTTTTTAAAATTAGATTTAGAAAAGAAACCCAAAAGCTGGTTGAAAATAGGTTTGGCAGTCTGCCCCAGCATCCCACTGCGTAATCACTCTCCAATCAAATGAAGCCTGGCTGTGAGAAATTAGTTGAGTTTTTTATCTTGCATGTTAGTCATGTTCATCTATAAACCCAGCAGCTAGCACAGCTGATTTAAATTGGTCTCCTTTTAAAGTTTCACTTTTGGGTTGTGCTGTCAGCACTTTTGAAATACTGCTAACTTCTGCAGCTCTGCTTTCAGGAAACATTTCAGACAGATTTTACTTTAAAAAAAATCTTCTTTTTAGATTGTATGTGTGGCATTTTTGCTTAATTATACAGCGCACAGTTTCCAGTGACATGCAAGATGGTAGAGGGAGAAGAAAATATATGTGAGAGGTTGTAAGCTAGACTTCATGACATTTAAAAAATGGAGCATTTCTCTTTACCCTACTGGGCCACGTTGAGCTGGATCATACAATGCTGACTTTTTAAACATCGGGCTGACTTTATTGAATGTTGGTCAAGCCTAAAAAAAAACACGTCTAAATGTAATGAATGATTTGAAAACGCATCGACTTCATGCAGCTGTAACTTGACACGCCTGACATACGAACCATTAATACCATACACAGAAAAGCAGAAGCAAGGATTACACCCAGTAGAGAAAATGGGAGTTGTTAATCTACAAAATTGAACTAACAGGAAATTGCCAAATAATTCAAAATGTAAGCCTTCATGATTTACAACCACTTACCAACAAATTGCTCATACATGTAGCTTTTGTAGGTTGACACCATAATGAACTTTGCTGTTTTAACAACCATCATTTATAGGTGTCATTCCAGTCAAAACTACTAATTGTCTAATTGACTGTAATCAAAAGAAGGAGGGGGCTTGTAAAGTGTTGATGCATCGTCCTCTGGGTATATGTTACATCTGTGTATAAACACCAAGTGTGGTTAGGGTTGTCAAGGAAAATGGCCTCACAATCTACATCGGAAACCATATCGATGGCGACAGAAAGGATTTCAACTTTTGTTCATCACATTTTGAAGCTGCTATAACCACAATAAAATAAAAATAATGTGACCCAAGTTAATCTGTAAGCATGAGTGTTTTTCAGAAGCTTCCTCACGTTCTATCGTAGCTGTATGCATGCACCATGCCCAGGCAATGACTCTACTCTCGCGCAGTCATTAGTACCCCATCAGTCAAAATTAAGCTAACTAGCTCACTGGCTGTACTTACAAGCTGACATAATTGATCTCCACTCTGAGACATTAACTTAAGATAAGTTCTCCGGACAGATGAGCAGCACAGAGCTAATTAGCTGCAGATGAAGAGGAGTCTGCTTCAAACACACAAACAGAGAGGGAGACGGGAGGCCATGATAAATGCAGCAGGATACTGTTGATGATATGTGAGACAGTTTACCACAGCATCCCTGAGTTAACACGGGACATGGAGCTCCTCCTAGTGTCGGTACGAGGAACTACGGTCCAGGAAAGCTTGGGGGCATTTTCTTCTGCTTCAGTTCAACTCATTTCATGCTCGCCTACTCTCTTTAATTTGTCCTTTTCTCTGGAAGTTCTTTTTTTTATCTTAAGTCTCACCTCAGTTCCCCTTGTGTCTTATGCCCTTTCTCTGTGTTCTTCTTTGATATCGTCACTGTTGATTACGTTTTATTTCCTTAGTTTGGTGTTGATGTTGTGCATGTTGAGTTTCATCATAAATATGAAATCCTTTCTACTTCTTACAGTTCTGTTTTTGTTCCTTACAGATCAACGTGCTACAATCAAAAAGAAGATCAGAAATCCTGAAATCAGTGAGTTTACTTTTCTTACTTCTCAAATGATTGATGCAGCATCCCTTCTGGCTCTCTTAATATTCACAGTTTTCTCTCCACAGATGTTGTCCTTTATGTATGCCCACCTGACGTTCTTCCATCAAGGATATGACCTCTTTAGTGAACTACAACCTCTGATGAAACAGCTTGGAGGACAGGTACTGTACAGGCAACAGCACTGCCACACACACACACACACACACACACACACACACACACACACACACACACACACACACACACACACACACAACAACACACACACACACACACACACACACACACACACACACACACAGGCAGATGCATATATGTATCCGTTAAGAGGTTTTGAATGTCACCAAAACAGAAAGCGTCAGCAGCAAATACATATATATTTATTATATACTTTTACATTTCTTTGTTTTTAAGGTGAACCCTTAATTTTGTCAGCAAGTAATTCATTTAAAGTGCTCACAATTTAGTTTGCCTTTTCCCCTTTATTTTAATTAAACAATTTGTTTAAATCCAAACATTAACTTAGTCGGAGACATCCGGCACTTGCAATGTTATTATAACATTCTGTATAAACTTTTGCAACACAAGCAAACGTTTATTTCAAGCAGAGGAGCTGAATATTTGTTAGCTAAGTTTAAATACCAGTGCCGTGTCAAGGGTAAACACTTTTTATTATCTAGACAAAGACAATGTTGTTTAGAACCTAAAACATGTTCAGGGTTCATTAAGAGCTTAAAGTTAGTGTTTCAAGTGCAGACCTTGAAATGTGACTTTATCCATCTTCTGAGTTTGTACACAGTGGGTTTTCATTTTCATCATTAGGAAGCAGTACAACTGCCCTTTGACCTCCAGACGCACTCTTCCTTTGTGTTTGTGTTCCTACCCTCTCAGTGTGGGTTTACTGCTATCTTTTCGCCAACTGATACTTTAGCTCTGCGAGTGTTTGTGTGCATCCTCTGATAAACAGAGCCTTCCCTCTGAGCCAGAGGATGGCCCGAATGTGACTTTAAGATGATTATCACAGTTGAGCTGCTCTTACACTGAGTAGGAATGAGGAAGAAAGCAAGGGGGCTGGAAAAGTATTTTTCTCACAGTCAGTCGCATTGACGGTCAGCTGAACAAACACAGCAAATAAACCTCAGATTGATTTTTGGAGGTTTTGGAATATAATCTCTGAGACTTGAGCAGTAGAAGAACCGGAGGAGACAAACTTGTTTCACAAAACTGGGTGAAAGACAAAGGAAGAAAGGAGACCAGTCACAGAGCTGGAGAGGAGCAGAAGATTAGAGGGCACTTCTTAGAGAAAAGGAGCTTTGAAACATGTTTTTGTGACGGTTTAACCAACAACAAATTGAAGAAGGAAACAAACAGTATTTTTAATTTGAGAAACAGAAACATTTGGGAGCCAGATCTGAAGAGGTGGGACAGTGGTCCCCTAAATTGGATCAGAGGAAAGAGGGATTTCTACCCTTCATGTTCTGGAGTTAGAACCATCTGACGGTTGGACGATCCAGAAGTTGACAGACAGAACCAAAGAGTGCTGGGAGAAGAACATCGGGAGGAGAGGACCCACTTTGAAAGCAGATTGTAGGAAGGGATAAGAGGCGGAATGTAATCTTCTCAAAGGAAAAGTGATTGAAGTGGAATGGAGAGGCATGGACTGTAAGCCTGCCACACTCAAAGCACAGCGAGGGTTGTGTGAAGAAAAAGGAAGAGAAGTGCAAAAGAAAACAGATCGTGCAAGGAGAGAGGGAATGAGAGATGCAGCTGTATATAAATGCGTTGTGGGGATCGTAAGCCTGTCGCACTGAATTTGGAATAGTGCAAAACTTAAAGGAGAGGAAGAATAGAGGCCAAGCTGTGGGAAGCAGCGACAAGAGGATTGTGGATTATTTCTTTTCTGCCCTCCATCATGAAGCTGAAGAAAGTGGAGAGGCTGTGCAGGGAGGTGTGGAGGAGCTGTCAACAGGTCTGAACATATGACTTGATGCCTGTAGTCAAAGAGAAAGAGATCAAGGGCGGGGAAATTAGCATTAGAGATCAAAAATTGCTACTACTGTACGTTTTGGTCTTAATTTCAAAGTATGGTGAAAGGAAATGCTTGAAGTAAAATACAAATAAAGCTGTTTTTTTTACCCCAGCTTGGTTTAAATATAGTTGCATTGCATGATATGTCTGCAATGTGTTTATGCTTGGGAACTGTAAGCCAACTTATAAATACAAAATAAAATGATTATAAATATAAAGGTAAGAAATGGTGGCCAAAAAATTGAAGTGAATTCAGTTTTTGAAGTTACACATAGTAATGTAGTTGCAGAAAACCAAAAGTAAGTGTTTGTGCTTGTTTGGGAATTAGTAACAAAGCTAGTATAAAGAGCAAGACAAAAAAAAGTCAAAAGAGAAAGAAATAAGTAAAGACTAATCGATCAAGAAAGTGACAGTAATAATATTATTATTTATCAAAATCCTGTCTAAGATAAAAACGAAAACGGCTGGAGATCCTTTAAGGAGGTTTTTGAATCACCAATTTATGATTCATGTCAAATGTGCCACTTTTTCCATTGTAGCTTTTGGAAACAGCTGGACTTTGTCTAAATATAAAATAATCAGCTGATTGCATCGTTCCATGACACAAAGCCTCAGGGCTGCACATGTTTTGAGTGAACATATTCATTCAAAAGGATGTTTTGTATCTTTTCCATGAATCATGCAGCTTGTCAGCATGGGGTAACATGTCGGGACAGATCTGAGCAATGTGACCCGAATTCTTCCGTGTGGTCTGTAGGAGACAAACAGTGAGACATCTGAGGCAATTGTCTCCGCTGCCATTGTCACTGGGGGCTGCATAGTAAGATGGATAAGACGTTAGAGGTGAGACTGTCACAAATATGTGGAGACACAAGCCCACACACCTGCCTTTGTAGATACAGTAAAGCAGATAGATGGTCTGGACTGGACTAGTTGTCACAATGGGACGGGGAAAACATTTCCCATCTGATGTTATCAGCCTCTCGCTCTGACGTCCACCCATTTCCTGTCCAAAGAAAACAAAAGATTTGGCTCCCACAAATTCTTCTCTGAAATTATTTGATTACAGCATTTTTGTGATATTTTCTATATTTTGTGATAGAAAAAACATTGAAATAATAATAATAATAATGCAAAAAGTATAGGTTTCAAAATCTTAAAAGGCTTTTGCAGCACCAGAAAGGAAATACAATTCCGCCCTCTTCTATCTCATTTTGCCCACTGACTTCTCTGTTAGCAATTAGCATGAATTGCCATTTAGCTGGAAGTTGTGGTACAGTATCTAGTGTCTATAAATCTACAGCAGCCATTTAAAGCATATAAGGAATAAAGCTTAGCTGTAGTAAACATGCAACATCCCGCCTTTAACATGCAGATAATGAATCTTTTGTGTTTAAACCACTAGTCACGATGCTTAAGGTCAGATTGCAGCCACAGACTATCAAGAGGTAGAAATTCACTGCTTTAAGGCAAAACAACACATTTTCACCACTATGACCTCCACCAGTTCATTTAAGTCTTTTTTTAGATTTGTTGCCTTCTTCCCAAAAGATGCTTTGTACTCCTCTGGTCTGCACTCAACGGTTACTCGAGGAGAATCAATCATGCCCCATCCAATTTCACACATGATGAAGCCTCCACAGCACGGTCCATTTTGTTTAGAGAAGGCCTGTCTTCTCTCGCTGTGGCCTCTGGAAAAGTTATTTATCTGCTGGAATCAATCGTGCTCTCGCAAATGAAAAGGGGAATGAAGTGTTGGTGCACACTCACACCTTTCAAATGGAGACGAAAGAGAACGCTTTCATTGTAATGGCCCCGTGTTAGATTGTACGACCTTTACACGTACTGCTTTCTCTGTGATTGTAAAAAAAAATAGACGTTCATACTTTGCCCTGAAAGAAGAAGAAATGTAACATGAACGCATCAAAGCAAAACATCTTGACCATATTGATGTTGGAATATGTTTTTTGTTGTGTACGTATGCGTTATTTTTGGATTCATTCACCAATGTAGAATATACATTTAAAAAAGAAAAAGGAAAACATTTGCATTTATGGTGAGCGTGACTAATCAGATGTTCTCTCTCTTGCAGTTGGACCTGCTGGTGGTGGATGCTGCCAAAGAGAAGAGGGACATGGAGCAGAAACACTCCACCATCCAGCAAAAGGTACACACATATGTTCCCACCTTCACTTTGACACAAAACCCACTAAGCACATGGAAACTAAAAAGTATTCACACTATTAGCACTTTGCACAACCTGCAAACAAACATTATTTTAATTTGATCTGAATATTATTGGATGCAGTTGGTTTGTAAAATGGTGAAAGAATTGAACAATGTTTCACAGAGGAGTAAAGAAACCAGAACATATGAATAATTAGGAAGCTGGAATTACTCCAACTGATACATTGATTATATTAAGAGTTGTCCATTATTCTAATAGTTAGCAGCTAATCCATTACATTGTGCACCCACCACACAATACAACATCATTTATATTGCTTAATATGCAACATCATGCATAGGTGCACAATTGTGAATCATAAATGACAACGTTATCCTCCTTTCCTTGCCTAGCAATCTGAAAAACACAAACAAAAACACACACACACTGACTCAACAAAGTGTGCTCAACAGGGCCAGGCTACTCTGAGCCTGGATTTGTCTCGCATGTTTACAGACCTTATGACTGTTAGATCCCACAAAGCCTTGGTCATTGCAGGATTTAGCTTCTACCCCACATCCTCTTGTGCTCCCTCTTCACTACAGTCACCGCTCCCCTGCACTGAGCTCTCTCTGAACACTATGCTAAGATATTACAAGCCTCTGGTACAGTAAAGGTCTCGGGATGAAAGCGTTCAAAGTACATTTTGCTAGGTTCATTTACATGCTGAAGTCAAATGAATTATTTGTATTTGAAAGAAACATTACTTGTACAATTATTTGCCTAAGGGGGCATTCACATACGAAAGCTCAATAGATCAATTGCGGCCATTCACTGTTCATTTGTCATGTGGGTGAATGGAGGTAGTACTCCGCCCTCAGGTGTAAGGAGATCTCCAGGGATGATCTCAGCCACACACCCATGCATTATTGACAGCTGACGGAAACCCATTTCCAAACAAATGAGGTTGAGTTTCAGATCCCTCCCATCTCTGCTCAGCACCCGTGCCAACACTTATATGACCAGTGAGCCACACTTGTTGACATATTGTTAACCAGAAGGGTGCACCAGAAATGTTTACAAGAAATGAAATGGAAAGAGGAAAAAAACCAAAAATGACATAAAAGTATCAGACCACCCCCCTTAACATTAAATGTATGTAATTGAGTAGCTATTTAGAACATGAATGCTTTCAGTTTCTGTTCATTTCGGACACTGTGCATGTTTGAAGCTCTATGAACTTTCCCAGTATAGAATAAAATATAAAGTTAGGAATGTGTGGGAATAACATCATGTTAGAGTATGTGGTGGTTAATTGCGCATAGCTTTAATTGGAGATTACACAACATCATTAACTCCAGACAGCATCTGCCACTTCTATATCCAGCTGTTGTCTGCTGGGCTTCTGTTGACAATTGTGTTCATTCTAGTCTGAACTGTGTTCAAGTAGTACATCTCCCCCCCCCCACCCCCCAACCCCCTCTGTTTGTTCTCTCCTTATATCGTTTTGTATTTTGATTTGTGTCTTTGCCTTCTCCATCTGTGTTTTCTTTTGCATCTTGTCCTCTTTCCCTCTCTGTATTCCCTCCTGCTCCGTCACTGATGGTACGTGTGCCAACTTCCACCTGTCCTTGAGCAACTATCCTCCGCCTCCCCTCCCTCAATTTATAGATGCTATTTATATATCGTCTCGCTCCCAACACTCGCTCTTGCTCTCTCTCTTGTCTGGCTACGTATACGCAGACGCTCTTAACCAACTGTCTTTTTCTGTCTTCTACTTCTGCTCTCTTCTTCTTTTACTCACTTCAGGCTGCTATTCAGGTAAGCTTTGTTACTCTTTCCTTTCTCCTTCACTGTCATTTCTGTGTCATGTCTGCAGCATGTGTGAAAAGATTCTGTACACGTTACTTTAACTGCTTGGGCTCCACCTCTGCAGCTACTGTAACGTCATTTGTGACAAGACCAGCGAGCCTGTTCATCACGAGATTAAACTGGGAACATAAATGATATGATGCCATTTCATAGATAGTCTGTCATCACACGTGTCCTTGTGACATGAAATTAAGACTATTTTCATACCATAGTGATCTTACACATGGCTTCCCACCTTGTATTATGTTGCTTTTTTGTGCTAAGTTTTGTTTTGTTATCTTCAGATGTAAAATCAACCAAAGTGTGTTGAGTATTGGCAAGAAGGATGGTCTTTGTCCTATTTATGTTCAGTTATGTCTCAAAGGCTGAACTAAGTGAAGCATACTAATAGCACATAGTTTCATTATAACATTCTGCAATTGCGGTGGAAAATAAATGTATCGTTCTGGCAAATTTACCCTGAGGAAATAGGATACACAGACATTTGTTGTCAAGGTGAGTTGTTGCACTTACAAGGTACAATGGCTTCACGTTGGTATATGAACCTCAGCTTTACAGCACAACATTGCTGAATTACTTCATTTATGATCAGGAACATGAATATTTCCCAAATGTTAGAGGTCAAAGTGCACAGAAGTGATATCAGGCTGACAATCTTCGACAGGGGCCAGGTTTAGGTTTTTGCAGGTTTCTGTATCGGCCTTATTGACCAGAGCCTTTTGCAGCAACATAAACTAAACAGACTTGTACACATCTCTCCGACTCCTCCTCTTGCTTTTGTAGTTGCGTCGGTGATGCAGGTGGTTTACCACTGTTGTTGTCCTCATCAGTTACTGGTAGACAAATGTGTGAAGGTTTTGGTAGTGTTGTGAAACTTCAATGGGCAGAACAAGTTTATTTTATATTCTAGTATGAGTCAGAACGTGTGTTTTTAAATAAAAGCCAGAGGTCTTGTAAAGTAATTGGTGAATTTTTCGAATTGTAATGATCATGTCGGACCCCTATTATTTTATTCCGAGTCATTATGTGTTGTATGTCTTATCAGTACTATGCAAACTGTCGTCTTTATTTCACTCTGTCCCATCATCACTTCATTGATTTAACATGCCTGTGTGCAGCAGCACTATGACCACAGAGCATGACGGTGTGACAATGGCACTAACAGAGAGAGATGTTCTGCTGACTTAAAGATTGTCCTGTCTTGTCTCATAAAGAAAGACAACATGTGTAATTTGTCTTGAAGTGGCTATAGTTTTAAGATGATCTGATTGTCTTTATGCAAGAATAAGCCATATCCTCCTAACTGTCTCACACACACACACACACACACACACACACACACACACACACACACACACACACACACACACACACACACACACACACACACACACACACACACACACACACAGGAGGGAGATGAGAGCTTGAAGGGAAAAGCTGAGTGCACGTCTGTTAAATGTAAGTCAGTATAAATGTTTGATGCCCGGGCTCTTCTGCACAGTCTACTTGATTATTCAAGCCCAACAGTCACACACACACACACACACACACTCACACTCACACTCACACTCGCACAAACACACTCACACAGACCAAGACACATAGGTGACCTTCGCTCAGGCCTCACGAGGAGGAGGAGCAGCAGCAGCAGCAGCAGCAGCAGCAGAGGCAGTGACGAAAGTTTTGATAGACATACACAGCCGTAAGAGAGGAGGTGAGGGTTGGGGAGACGGGCCTCGCTGCTTACAGTGACACACTGCCATTGAGATGCTTCACAGGGAGACCTTGAGATAGCAAAGAATCAACTGCCTCACAGGGGAACATTCACACAGAAAAGAGGGCCCAGCCTTCATAAAATCTGTGAAACATGAAGATTTTCAGCCGTTTTCACTACGTTTGGTATCTGGTGAGTTTAGCTGTAGGAGGGAGATTGAGAGTATCTGTGAGACCCTGCATGCGACAGTGTCTTTGCCCATGGCTATTTATAGTAACAGTCTGTGTTTATGTTTGTTCCTTCAGGTGATTTTTCTTGTGTGTATTCCATTTTTATTTTGACATATTCATAATTCCTTATTATACTGTGGTAGCATAAGAAATACATATTTATGTTCTCTGTGTGTCATTCTCTTGCTGTGTGCGACATTTTAGGAGGTGACTGAGCCTGAGTCTTTACCAGACTGCCGCAACTTTTGCGCTTGGAGGTCGACCTCCGTACGTAGAGTCACCGCATCGATTTTCATCTGACTTCCGCTTTGTAACCCAACCTCCCCCCTTCTGTCTCCTCTCCTTTCCTCTCCTGCACACGCCAAGAGACTGCATTGCAGTCTTTGTGTTGATGTTTGCACCTTCATGTGTTTCCTCATTTTAGTGTGCCACTCATGCATCAGTGTTGATGTGTTTTGATTATGCAGCATGTTCATTTTGAAGCCTTATTGATGTTGCCGGTATGGTCCGGTTGCTGGTTTGATGTCAGTGAGTGGTTTGTTGCTGTCCATCGTGACTCTTTGGATAAATTAATGAACACATCTCTGTTGTCAGGCCAAAACCTTGCATCTTTAAAATGTGTCAGGAACTTAAAACAACTGAATAACTTCCAGTTTGACCACTACCTGTTTTTAAATATATGTGTCATGGTTTCACAAACCAAAGCGGTCACTGAAATGTCTCGACCTATAGATGAAACAAGAGAACCAGACAGGATTTCACATGACAGCCAGGGTGTAGCTCTATATGCATTTTCTTCTTTGGCCTCAGTCTTGATCAGGGAGTTTTTCATGGTTGTATGGATTGCTGTGCTTGTTTGTTTGTGTACATGTGTGAGTGAACATCACATACAACATCGTGGTTGTGTTTCCTAATTAAGTGAGCCATCAACTGACCATTAAGGGTTCTGAGCTGGGCATTAAGCATTTGTATGACTTAGGAATTTAGTTATTGGGAGGATTATGAAAATTGCGTTCCCCTATATCTAAGGTTCATTTTGTCCTACCTTTAGGAAAAGTGAATGTGTTGAATGGCTGGATTAGTGTTTTCCTTTGTCTTTCTGTTCAGGAGCTTAACATAGACACAGTTTGTTCCCATTGTGCACCCAAAATAACCTCTGTCGTCCCAGTGTATGTCATGATGGAAAATTGTGTGTCCATTTGAAATATCATGGTATCATAGGGCAAAGGGGTTTAAACAAAGCTTTTGCTCAGGTTACATTGAAAGATCCATGCAATGTTACAATGTGCAGTCATGCAACAGAAGTGATGCACTACATCAAACACACTTAGGTCTCTGTCAGTGAAACTCTTCACTGTAAATATCTCGTAAAATATTTATTGTAAAGAGAAACATCTAAAACAAAGACAGAATGCAATCACAATATTTGTTGAAGGCAAGAAATCAAAATGACTTTATAGTTACTTTCACTGAGAATAGGAATGTGTATCACATTCTGTATATATTTAAGCAATAGCTCACGACAGGCCGTCGCGTCGGGCCGACAACCATCACGGTTACCAAGTGTGGCAATATGAAAGAAAAATACAGACTCTAATTTAAATAGTTTTTATTAGTAAATTATGATGTTCAAAATAAAATTGTCCCTCCGTTGCCTTCTGCACAAAACATAGTGCGAGGTGGTTGCTATGCAACAACACTAACAGCTAGCGAACATATTAGACAGAGAGCGTTGATCCATTAATTGGCTGTTTATTTACATTAATGTGTGTTGCCGTTTATTGTGCACCCACTGAAAAACTGTCCAGCATCAGTAGCATGGCTTACGAGGTGACTTGTATAGGTTGAGGTTGTTCTAGGCTGTGGCTTGGCGTGGCGAGAATATTGCTCCACTTTCTCCGGTCCCCGAGATTGGGCTTCCAGTAGCTCTGGAGAGAGCTTTCGCACCTGTGGCCACTAACGGTCATAATTTCTCTGCTTTGTTTCAAGACTCGCATCAGAAAGCTTTTGAACGGTGGTACTTTTCCAGTTGGTCTACCTGCTCTTCACGTAGCTCTGCATGCCGTCGTTTAGGTGCTTTTTTTTTTCTGGAGATAGGCACTGCTAAATCCACTCCTCCATAGTAATACCCCCCCGGAGGTCGAAGTTAATCTTAAATGTTTCCATCTTATGCTTTGTAAGTTTGTTTCGTAACGGAAGAAATTTAAATATATTTATAAAACTGACAAGTCAAATCAAGCAATCTGATTGGTCGATAGTGTTTTTGCGGACCTCTTTGATTACAGATTTGAAAACATCGTTGCTTGCTTTAAAAGTAGCACAATTTATTATGTCGAACCTTGGAAAGTGTCTAGATATCCCTGCCCTAATGCCAAAGGAACTGCACACTGAATATGTTTTGCCGTTTGATGTCTATGTCTGGACCGCTGCGTAAAAAGGAGGCTTTCTGCCCCGTTACTTCTCCGCTGCTTTCTTGTTCCAGTAATGAATTGCTTTTCAACCCAACTGTATACTGTTTTTCTCAGACGCGGAGGGATACTGACTTGTTGTGAAAAGTAATTTACAATTCTACCCGTGGTATACGCTCAGTATATCACGGCTAAGAACCAATCAGATTGCTTGATTTGACTTGTCCGTTTTATAAATATATTTTATAAATATACGCTTCGCGTCGGGCCGAACCACGCCCCTTAGCTGTGATATAATGAGCATATACCGGCCTGTCGTGAGCTATTGCTTAAATATATATATATATACTTTTAAAAAAAATTTTTTTAAAAGGAATTAATGCTGTAATTGGTTGAGGAGAAGGTGTAAATGTACCCACAAGGACACACACAAACACACCCCGGCCCATACAGACATTCATCATGGTGTTAAATGTCACTTGAAGCTAAGAAAGCTGTAAGGGGGTCAGGAAAGTGTGACAGCAGCTCAGGTAGATAAAAGCTGGACTCACCAAACTAGATTATGTTTGATTTGCAGGTCGGTCTTGGCAAACTACTGAGTATGTGATTTAATTTGCTGAAACGGAAAGTCTTTACTGTATATTATCTGTACAATTAGATTCACTAAGCACCTTCAAACACCGAGTAAGACGTTAGAAAGTAAAATAGTCTGAAGCACTGAAACTGAACATTAGAAGATATTCCAGTATTTTGTTAGATTTGTTATAATCTCCCTTCTCAGAGCATTCGTATCAAGGATTGAAATAGATCATAACTCCATCAGGAACCACCAGCTGTGCGTGTGTGTTGTTTCTATCTCGTCTGGTTTGGTTTGAAACATCATTCCGGTTAGTGTAAGAAGCAGCCGAGTGTTGTTGCTCTGCAGGAAGTTACTTAAGAGACTGATGGCCGTGTTTTGTGACTTTCAGGAAAGTGCTTAGTTACTACTTCCTGCAAGTAAAAGTCAATACAAAAAAAAAATTAATGAATATACTGATAGTAATTTGGGAAATGTGCATTTTATGTTTGCTGATTTTTCTGTCTTTGCTATTTTTCTTTCTTCCCTTTCTGACATGTTTTGTTTAGGACTTCTCGAATGACGACACCAAACTGGAGTACAATGTGGATGCAGAAAACGGCATCGCAATGGAGGGCTATCTGTTTAAGAGGGCCAGCAATGCCTTTAAGACGTGGAATAGGTACAGACAGACACAGCTCAATACATTAAAAATTCAATTTTATGATAAGGAATTGCTACAGTAGGCTGATTATGCATTTACAGTAAGAGGGCAAGCTCTGTCATCAAAATGTTGAATCAAGATAATAAAGGTGCTTTACATTTTAATACCTCAGCAAGAACTTTGAGACATGTCTTGATAAGGATCTTTTTATAAGAATATAATAAGGTTGAATGTAAAAGGAAAAGATGTACAGATGAGTTTCTAATAGAATTACTGTTCCCATCATATTTTATCCTGAAGTAGAGTTTATTTTCTCTGCAACGTGTATGATACATATTGGCATTTAGAACACCTTCTAGACACCAGTTCTCTCTCTAGCCATCACTCTTGTCCACACTAAAGTTATATCAAAGCTTTCTCTTATTTTAGGAGCGTCACTAGCAACAGCATGTGACTTTGTTTTTCTCCTCTCAGGCGTTGGTTCTCCATCCAGAACAATCAGCTAGTTTACCAGAAGAAATTTAAGGTATGTCAAGTGACTCCGTGCACACAGACCACAATCAAATATGCATGTGTTTGACTTCCAGCTCAAAAAAACCCTCATGTATTTTTAAAGGGATGCAGTAGCTTCATTTAAGAGCTGTAGTAGCCAAATCTAATGATATCTTTAGTATAGAATAAACCACAGCTGCTTGTGTTTTCTGTGTGTATGGTAACATGATCCAATCCATCTCAACATATATACATTTTTTGTATAACAACAACAACAACAATGTTTACATTTAGCTAAAGCTCAGAATGGAAAACATATCTATGCTATTAATTAAAGTAAAATAGTCAATTTCTTTTAGTTATGCCTTATTTCTCAATGGTGGTAATACCACGCCTTGGTTTTGCTTGGTTTTGAAAAAAGAATTCCTACATCCTGACAGCAGCTTAAAACAAACCAGTCATCTAGTAACTGGAGTTGATTAAAAATGATGGCAAAATATAGTTTGGGATTTGTACTGTTTTAACTTTTCATGAATCTACACCTTTTATTGTGTTTTACAGTAAATGTTGGGCGTTTATCATTGTTTGTGTGTTTGAGTAAATAGTGTTTAACCAAAGTGGCTGTGCTGTCCCCTCAGGACAACCCCACAGTGGTGGTAGAAGACCTGAGGCTCTGCACCGTCAAACACTGTGAGGACGTGGAGCGGCGCTTCTGTTTCGAAGTGGTGTCGCCCACCAAGTAAGTTTGAGTCTACTGGAATATGTTACTGAAGGTGGGAGGCAGGAGTAGTAATGTACGAGCCTACACACACACACACACACACACACACACACACACACACACACACACACACACACACACACACACACACACACACACACACACACACACACACACACACATATATACATTCAGCAGCTCTGTGATGTGGTTTGTCCCAACAGGAGCTGTATGATGCAGGCAGACTCGGAGAAGCTGCGTCAGGCCTGGATCAAAGCCGTCCAGAACAGCATCGCCACCGCCTTCCGTGACAAGGGAGACGAAGGCGAGGTAAAACCAGAAACACAGAGACACTGAGGGGACAGTCGAGGGGTTCTCATATAATTTCGATACATAAATCATATGGTGACGCATTTAACGCTGTTTATTTATGTAACACTGATTTCCCATGCTTAAGTTTACATTCTGTTTACACTGTTTACGTTACACCATGGGGACAACGTTTCATTTAGGTAGATACTGTATATCCTTTCTTAATGATTTTTTCCCATCCTTCTGTGCCTTCTCTCTTTCTGTCAGAAGCTGGACAGGAAGTCTTCCACGTCAACAGGAAGCCTGGACTCTGGTGGGGAGCCGAAGGAGAGACCACTGAAAGGAGAGAGCGCCCTGCAGAAGGTCCTGGTGATCCCAGGGAACACCTGCTGTTGCGACTGCGGCCAGCCGGACCCCCGCTGGGCCAGCATCAACCTGGGCATCACCCTCTGCATCCAGTGCTCCGGTATCCACAGGTAAAGTACAATGATTTCTGTAAACAAAGCCTTTTTTATAGATATTTTAACAACATGTTTCAAACAGCTGTAGACATAACAATGGTAGCAAATAAATGACCTACAATTACAAAGATTCATCAAGGATATAGATCAATAAAATATCAAACGCACAAAGGAACACAGAAAGTCTTGACACACACACCCATACATCGAAGTGTTATGAACACTTAAATACATTTAATCGATCAAGCAGAAAACTTACAGAAGCTAATAAACAGAGGAACCTTGTATCAGCATATTTTATTTAATAATCTTCTAATTTGCAGGAATAAAGTTAATTCTGAGTTATTTTGGTCTGGAGGGATTGAGAAATGTAAACCCAGTGTGGAGAACACCCAGCCTGCTCAGGATGTCTTTAAGACCTTTCATTACTTTAATTACCAGGGTGAAATATTTCATTTTCATTCCGGTCACATTTTAATTAAAAATAAAAGTGTCCAGGGATTCAAGCCATTCTTTTCTTTACAACCTAGAAAAGTAGTACATCTTCAATGTGATTTCTCAACTGAGTGGGTTGAGGAATTTGTAGGATTACATAATAGAAACATTCATATTTTCCATATATTTACTTAAACAACCCAATTTGTGGCTTTAAAAAAAATCTCTGACACTTTGACTCAACAGAAGTAATAGATTTTTGAACGTACATAAATATTACAAACAAAGGCTTAGAACTGTTGTAATGCATATTTTTCTTAGAACTACCTTCTCTACATATTATGCTTTTGTGTTTTGCTGCTAAGCCCACCCATATACAAATTCCAAATGAACAATGCCATGTGTTTTCTTGTGTGTGCTTCTTTCCCCTGCAGGAGTCTGGGAGTGCATTTCTCTAAGGTGCGATCTCTGACTTTGGATTCATGGGAGCCAGAACTTCTAAAGGTTAGGGAACACATAAACAAATAAACACAACCATCCTGTTTGAACTGAAAGTCTTACGTTGAATCAAGGGCTGATAACAAATGACCTTTTTTTTCCTTGAACTTCACAGTTGATGTGTGAACTGGGAAACGGAGCGATCAATCAGATCTATGAGGCTCGACGAGAGGAGCTGGCAGCCAGGAAACCCCAGCCCGGAGATCCAAGGTACAGAGCTGCTAGAAAGCATGTTGGTATTTTCACACTTATTCTCGCCCTTCATCTATATCCGATTGAATTCATCTCCTGGTATTTAGTTTTCTTCTGTATCTGACTCAAAGGATGTTTTTATGGAGCAATTCATTAGAATAGAAACAGTATGGTCTTGGTATTAAGAAACGTTCACTCTTGATGGTTAACATTTGTTTTTGATTTACATCTTTTCAACAAAATAGATTGCTAAAGTAGCTAAACTAGTAAAAAGTACGATTCCCTTATTTACAAACAGAAACATCTGCGTTTTATTCCAAACAGGCACGAGGTCGAGGCCTACATCAAAGCCAAATACGTGGACCGCCGGTTTGTTCGCCTGCCGTCGGACGAGGAGCTTCGCAACAAAGTGGTTTCTCTGAGCAAACAGGAGAAGAGGCTGAGCAGCAGCTCTGAGCATCTGCCCCCGAGACCACCACCCCCCACCCCAAAACTGAGAGCCGGTCAAGCAGGTCAGTAGACAAAAAGAACAAACATAACACACATTTAACCCAGGAGTGTTGATGAGTGAGAAACTGACAATATTCCATTGTACTGATCCTGACTGTGGATGGTTTCTGGAACTAAAAAGTGTATTGAATTCAAGCTGGATAGATTTAATACCAAAAGTATTTACATGTAACCTCTTAAAATCAACATTATTTTTAGTTTTGGATAAGTCATGGTACATTTTGATAACTGGTCAGTTGATGATGGCTTAGCATATTTGGATAAGAAGTGTTTTGTCCTCTTCCCCTAAATCCAATGACTGGCTACTTGGATGAGGGCTAGAGTTATATAACTCCCAATTTGAATATAGAAGAATACTCTGAAATTAAACTCTGTTTTACAAATGAATCTTCTAAAGGTTTTAAAGGTTCACAAACCCCAATGTACCACACATTGTATTCAGGATTTAAGAGGTTGGATGTTTCTGTTGTACAGATCTTTAAATTCCTTTTTAAATCCAAACACTGCATCAAGAGGGCGAAGCTTGTGTCATTTGTGATTGTTGCCACCTTTTTTATTGTACGCTCCATGTACATTTCGTACTGCCATGGAGAAGTGACCCCCCCCTCCCACCCCCACCAGCATACTGTATGTTCTGTGTGAGCAGCATATGCCTAAGCCCTCTTTGCCTCCCATTGCTTCTCGTAGTGTGTCTCTAGTGTCTAACTTTCTCTGCTTACTGCCTTCCTCTTTCTCCTCTTCCTCAATCTCTTTCTTCCACCTCTCCTGTTCTGTGCTCCTGGATTAACCCCTGCTCTCACTGCCTACCCTGTAACCCTGTAACCCCCCCCACCTTGCCACTCAATTTACACCCTCCACCTTCCAATTTCCAAACTCCCATGATTCCTAACGTAGCTGTTGCCCGCGGCTCGGAGGCCCGCCGCGACTCTCTCTTCTGTGCTGACGAGCTTCACTCGCTCTTCTCCTACTTTGACAACTCTGCCAAGCTCAGGAGCAGTAAGTACTAAATGCTCAGTGTTCCCCCTCCTCATCACCCCCCTCTGTCCATTTCTACTTTGGGGCTGTGGACTAACAACCCTCCATCCACTCCTCTGTTCCCCCTTCCTCATCCAGACCCTCCTAATGGACCATGCTGTCATGTTAAGCGCATCGCAGAGCTTCCCATGTTTTGTTTTTCCCGGGGCTGGGACGTGTTTCTCTCACATGGTTTTGGTCATTGTCTGTATTGTATTTGTCTCATCATATTTTTGGTATTTAGGGTCCTGAAGCATAAGGTGATGGTGGGGGTCTCCAGTTCTCTCTCTGTTGATTTCAGCCGGGGACTTGTTTGTGTACACTCTGTATCAAATATAAGGACCACCTGCTGTTTCTGCCTATCGTACTGGAGATACCAGTTGATGTTCAATAACTGATCTAGTAATAACAAACTAACTCAAAGTATTAAAGAACTTTTCTGAGGGGCAACATTAGGAGCTGCATGATGCTCTGAAAACAGCAAGAAGGTGTTCCTTTTATTTCATACACTCAGTGAATGATGTTTTATTTGACAAGTCGTGATTAAAAACTCTTTGTTTTACAGTAAAAAGTGCAGACAGCGGCATCCAGAACAGCGCTGATGGGAGCCGAGAGATGCTGGCCAACACCCCGTCCAATAACAGCCTGACAGACGCAGGTCAGACTCACACTCACACACCTCCTCTGTCATCACACAGATATCCACGCCTTTCAATATCTAAAAAAGAGACACACATTCAAAGTGCTGTATTAAATGTAAAAGCTAGTGTACAAAAGACATATATTGCACACTACCATCTATATTTAAGGCAGGACTCTGATTTAAGCTATTACAGATTTTAACAATCAGACGCAGCAAACGCAGGCTTGTTGAACTTTAATTGCACGCAAACTGTAGGCCTTCTAAGACCTGAAGCTTCTTATCCTTTTGCCTAAAAAGAAAGAAATATCCAGAGGAATCCCCAATCACTACAAAAAATATGATGATTTTAGATATGTTTCACTATGTTGGAGAAAAGAAAGAAAGAAGTATTAGAGGACTTTCCTCCAGGAATTTAAAGCAATTCCTAGTGCGGCGAAGTTTGGAACTTATGAGAAACAGTTTGAAGATCTATAGAGGGGAACTGTTGTTGCTTTACAATGCACAGACCAACTTTCATCTACATGTTAATTGTTGATACAAATGTCTCCCACCTTCCTCTTCTCAGACGCTGCAGAGCCTCCGGCCATGGCCATGCCTGCCACCCTGCCCCCCCCCTCCCCCTCTAAGGAGATGGTGTTCTACGAGCCGAAGGAGTACAGCTCCGGTCTGCAGCTCTACTGGGCCGCCTGCGCCCGCTCTCTGCCCGACATGTCGGAGGCTCTGGCCCACGGAGCCGAGGTCAACTGGGTCAACACGGAGGAAGACAAGAGGACGCCGCTCATCATGGCCGTGCACGGGGTGAGCGTTGGGAAAACTCTATATACTATGTTATTATCACTCATTTAATGATTTCATTCATGTAGATTTTATCGAGAGTTTGTATTCTTGCTAAAGAACATTTTGTGGTATATACTTGTCGTGGCTTCCTTCCTTGTTTTGTTTTTAGAAAGCCACAAGACGCCTTAAACAGACATTTTTAACTTGTTTCCTTTCCTTTATCTTTGTGCTACTTACAGTTGAAGAGTTGCTTGGCCTCCGATGGTTTGGATGATATAATGCGATGTGTTTGCTCAAAATAAAATAACAAACTTTTACACATCGCAATAAAGAAAAGAGGCCTTTACAATATTCCAAACAAATAGGCAAAACTCAAATAAAAAAACAAACAACTTAAGTATTCTTTCTCTCTTGATAATGCTTATATAACTTGATAACTTAAAGGGTAATTGGACGGTTAAAAACTGTTCCCCGACGGTTTCTTTCTCGGAGGTTGCCCATCACTGTCACTGTAGAGGAGGCGCTGGTTGACTACAGACGTCACCTTTATGATAAAAACAAAATACTGGCTCTAACAATACTGTAAAACTTGTATGCAAAATAAATATTGCCAGTGAAACAAAACATCTAATCTAAAATGTAAGCAGGTTTTTCTCACTGGAAAGTTTTGAATGTGTTACACTAATGGTTCCCTTCAGGGTTCGCTGGTCACCTGTGAGTTCCTGCTCCAGAATGCAGGTAACGTGAACCAGCAGGACGCTCAGGGCCGAGCCCCGCTGCACCACGCCACCCTGCTGGGACACACAGGGTGAGTCCTTCACATCATCGTTATTACATCAACAAACTTATACTCAGAGAATATTGGGGCATTTTGAAGAGTGGGATGCAACACAGATTATAGGTGAGCTCGAGACAATGACAAACCTTTCTCTCTGTTGTAGGCAAGTGTGTTTATTCTTAAAAAGAGGAGCAAATCAAAATGCTGCGGACATTGATGAGAAAACTCCCCTGACCATAGCGGTGGAAGCGGCCAACGCAGACATCGTCACACTGTGAGTGTTATTCTGGTTATCGATATGATTGCTATTCATATTAATAGTATTTGTGTTAATCTGTAGTTATTCTTGAAGAGATGTCTGAGCTGTCACACTGAACACACCTACACCACCAGCACAGCAACATGTAACCATTAGGGTTTTGGTGCCTTGCTTAAGAAAAGTCTGACTTCTGATCGTGTTGTCAAATGTTAAAGTTCATTCGATTGGTTTGGAAAATTTGACTAATCATTTGGAGTAACGGCTCCTAAAAAATGAGCATTAAGTCACTGTACTAGTTGAAATAGTTCAACAAGTAGTAACAACTATCCACCACAAGGTGTCATTATAATGCAGTGGACCTCCTTCTACCTCTATTAACACAGTTGCCTTTATGATCAGAGTATTTCTGTGAGCACAGTCATTAAAATAACTGATTTTAGTTTTTTATCGATTGCATCTGAGAATAACCTCTTACTTCCTGTTTCTCAGGTTGCGACTGGCCAAGATGAACGAGGAGATGCGAGAAGCGGAGGGGCCCTACAGCCAGTCAGGTCATTATAACACCAACAGCCCCACCGAGATGCAGTACAGGAAGTGCATGCAGGAGTTTATTAGCCTGCAGCTGGACGAGACTTAACAACTGTCCGCTGTCATTGAAACACAGGGGCCACACACTGCTAACCCAGCTGTATCAGGGGGAATGTGAAGACAGGTTTCAGAGTCGGGGTCAGTTCACTTCAAAAGATAACCCAGAGAAGTCATGCTCGGAGGTTTGATTATAGGGCAACTAGTTTATGAAGTGAGCTCTAGTTGAAGGGAGATTTGACCGACTGATTAGAGTTAGCTGAGCCCGACTCTGTCAGAGCTGCCCCTGTGTGCTGCTGTCCTGTGTGGGCAAATATTGGTTAGCATCAGGTCACTGTGTCAATGTGACCGTGTTAAAGCCATTGACTCTGGACATTTCTGAAGAGTTGGAACATCAACGTTTTCAATGAAGTGACTGTTACTCCTTTAAAGTTATTGATAGCACAACATTCAAGTCACTTTTGACTAGATAATGTGTATCTACTCCCTATAAGTTTGAATAATATCACTTTTTAAGAGAAGTTCTGTGAATTATAGCAGCTTATGAGAAATTCGTTTTTTATTTTGGATAAAATACTTGTTGGAGTGTTTATGTCTCCGCTATCAGTCACAGTATCTTTGCAAAAAAACGATCCGCCCAGTAACTGCCACCAGTATCCAGTGACCTCAAAGTGACGTCGGTGTCACTCTCTGGCAATAATCGTGACTTTTGAATGATATTTTTTATTATCTGACCAGTCCGGTGAGGCGTAGTGTGTGTTTGATTTGAAATCCATTTGTCAGAAGTTCTTTATGCACATTCCTTTAAGGGTTATGCAACTACTGTACATTGTCCTGCGATTGTTAGGTTTCCCTTTGAAGTCTTAACCATTTTCAAAGCCTGTTTACTGATTAGAACTGTTTGTTGTCTAATTATAATGCATCTTGCTGTTGTGACATTGCTGTACAGACAAAAAGTATTTTAGAACTGTTTTTTTATTAAGATTATACTAGTTATAGTATGCTTACTGTATATGTTGTAAATGATGTGCATACATACATTTCATTATAGTCTGCAGTATAAGCACAGTGGTGACGCCATGAGGGGCTCTGTGTTCACATACTAACTTATTGTTTCAATTATTGTACTGTATTTACTTCCTGTAATGACTATAACGTGTCTTGGTTATTAGTTGGTTAAATGTGCTTGCTCATTGCCCGTAATCACGGGAAATCCAGAATTGTAAGACGATGACGGCCTTTAAGTGCCATGGCTTTGATTGTATCGAACATTAGTGGGGTTTACTCAAACATAGACAAACCATCTGAGGGTGGTACGTCAAGCAAGAGTGCAATAGTGTAGAAACATGTATATATTCATATCACCTGCTGGTCCTAGCTTATATGTATCTTAATCATAAGGAAGCTTTAAAAAATAAAATAATCATGAGTGCAAAGCTCATTTGAGTTTTATAGATAGAATGAATGATCGACCCCAGTTTTATCCCACGTCCCGCTCCATTCAGCCCCAAATCCTGGGGGGGGGGTCGCCAAAGCACTTTTGATTAAAAGGTCATTTCTCTTCATTCACGTTGACAGAGCAACGCCTGCTGTATGTGATGTATTGATTGGCCGACGACTAGTCGTTGGTTAGAGTAGAGAAAACCGGTTGTGTTGTGATTGTGTTCTCACAGGTTAATGACGTTTTTAAAAAGTGGTTGAGGGGATGATTTTAGATTGTATGATGAAGGTAGTCATGCATATGTGTGTTGACCACAGGAGGGACTGCTACACTCAGAAATGCCGTCCATTTGTCCTGAAACAGTGAAGCGTTTATACCGAGGGCTGGATGTGCCACTTTAGATTAGATTTGTATTCGCCACACTGCTGCCCTTTTATTCTCAAGTGGAATATCCTCTGGGATGATTTAAAAAAGAAAAACAGTCAGAAATGTTTTGGACCTGAATGACACAGAATGAGTTCATCTGTTTTCTTAATTCTTTAGTGTGTGCAAAGCTTGTTGTTAGAGAAACTATAACCTGCATTGCAGAAAGGTCAACAGGAGTTCTGAGAGCGTTGACCACAGAGGAACAGCGGCAGCTTGTCATTAGCAGAGCGGAGTCTGAAGAGCTTCCCCTCTCTGAATCACCCTCAAGTTGTTTTGCTTTGTGGGAGGATTTGTTTCCGGCATTGGCTCGCCCTCTTTAAAGCCCAAGGGCCTCGCTCTTCATCAGTACCTCCAATCAGCTGATGAGTGAGGGGATGATGAAGGGTGTTCAGGGGTAATGAATGTGAACGAGAACTAACCTCATCAATCCACCCTTTAATTAAGATGAGAGTTCCCTCCACTCAGATGTTTCCACCCGATTGAGTGTGTGGAAGAAGAGCAGAGCGGCGGTTCTCAGCCTGCGTTTTGGGCACTTTAACATCTCAAGGGGGAAAGTGTATATATTTATAAATGTAATTATAAGTATTTAAAGAGTAATGTTTCTTTTATCAATATTTGTCTCTTGTAGAAAAGTGAAAGGGAAGATTTTACACTTGAACAGATTGAGAACTGCTGCTCTTCTCTCTCTCTCTCTCTCTCTCTCTCTCTCTCACACTCTTCTTCATTGCTCTGATCCACTCCTGTCTATCGCTCGTTGTAAATTCCCTCTCTTTGTTTCTGTATTTTTCTTTTCTCCCTCTCCTCCCCGGACTTTTGTGCCTTTCTTCTGTTCCCTTTTTTTCTTTGGGGTGCTGAGGCCAACACAACTGTATTCTTGTAAATATACTCCTGCACTTTAAACACAATACAGTTGTTAACAAAAAATGAATCTGTGGGCTTGTCTTTTCTTTCCGAGTCGATCTGCAGTTATTGTAAAGTGTCAAAGGGAAAGCTCTCCGGCTGTTTTCCTTCAGACATTAGTTTGCTTCTCCTGTTCTTCCCTATCTCTGTCTGCCTCTTTCTTGCTCTCTTTCCTACTCCGAGCCACGCCAGCACTCTGACAGGTACGGCCCACTTTTTCTTTCTTGTTCTTTTGATACTGTCACTGTGCATGAGCCCTCCACTCTGCAGAGGGTTGTTGTTATATCCTGCAGAGTGAAGAAGCAGATTTCTCAAACAAAAGTTACAATTTCAGTAACTGAAGTCAAACTTGCATTTGGTATTAAACGATACATCATCTCGTTCCGAACGGGAAACAACGTCTGTAATGCTTTTGTGCCATGGCAAGAGATAATTAGTGATTCTTTTTTTTTCCCTCTCAAATTGTACTATTTCAAAGTTTCTTACAGGCCTGAAAAGATAAAAGTGTGTTCAGTAACTCACAAGAGGATCAGAATGTGTGTGACGAATGTTTGAACCATTCTGTCTGACTTCTCTTTGATTACGTTTCCTTCTGTTGCTGATTCCTTGTGTTCTCTACCTCTTGCAGGAGATGCAACCTACCAAGACATTTTCCAGGATTTCACCCACATGGCTTCCAACGATCCGGACAAGCTAAACCGCTACCAGCAGTACGACCCACAAAAACCCTGACACGGCAGAAGCTCCGTCCACTAGCACTCAGAGACCGTGTGCTAAACCCCAGAGAGACTTGAGGAGGTCAGGACCCCCCCCCCGACAACCTCGGTCAGCGTTAGAGCCGGTCCGTGCTGCCACAGCTGGACTCCAGTCACATGTCGTCAATCGTGAACAGCAAACCTCACTTTTTCTTCTTTTTTTGAAACTGTGCTGTCCAGTACTTTTATTACTGAATGGTACAGTGTTGAAGCCTTTTGAAAGGATTTGCAAGGTCGTAACAAATCAAAGTGATAATTGAACTGAATGCAGAGCTGCCATTACGGCTGTCAGTTATTTCCATCTTTTATATCACTGACAAGAGGTTTCCAAAGGCATCCGAGTTGTAAAGAGGTGACCCACTTTGAAATGCTCCATTTATATTTTAAGTGCTTCCTCTTCTTAATAGGATTTGTTTGATGATAGTAAGCATCCTTTTCATATCAAAGCGTTGCTTCAGTGAACTCTCAGCAGCGTATCTATGCTTATGCACGAATCCCTGTATGAAATCGCCACTGGTGTTTACCAGTTTTGATGGTAAGACTTTGACATGTTAAACAATGTACAGTGATTATTCAAGTAAACATGTTTTTAATGCCTGCAATTTTAAATATATATTAGTTTTTTTACTTTTAAATGCTAGATCTCTTTCCTCTGGATGATTTGAATTTCTCATGTCCCCACGTCAGAGAGGTAATCAGCCCTGAAGTGTCCTGATTCACGTCGGTTAAAAATAGCTCGTTGAGATGATGGTAATTTGTAGATTCAGTCTCTTCTGATTTTTGCTGATTTTCAAAAGTTAAGATGTAGTTGTAAAATCAAAGTGCTCTACAATAGTCTGAATGTATAGATTATATTGCAGCTATTGTATACCAGTTGATTTGCCAGGACTGTCATTTGGTGGTAATTATGGAAAAATAGGATTTTCCCTGAAAGAAGAACCCAAGTTAATGCTCGGTTTAATATGGAAACGTAGGTAAAACGCAGCGGCTTCATACTACACAAAGCCACCGGGGAATCTCTTTAGAGTGCAGGAGCTCACGCTATCAAAATAACATCATACAACTATAGAAAATACTGAAAAGATAGATAATAACTGACTATAAATGCTGAAAGATTCTGAGCATAAATGACGTAAAAATGTGAGTTTAATTTCATAAACTAAGTTTTCCATTTAATGTTCAGGTTCATCTGACCTGCTGTGCACTTATGAAGACCTCTTGTTATGCAGGAAGAAGATTGAAATGAATTTATTGGACAATTAAACACTGTCTCTGTTTCCCTATAATGCCAGCTACTAACCTTTCAAGTGAACGTCAAAGGAAGTTCATTTGGAAACTATAGAGCTGAACACTTTTTGACAGTCTGTGAAACGTCCAGTAATATACGCACACACAAGATGGATGACCTGTAGTTGTAGAGTCGCTGTCATTTCATGTGATGAGTTGTTCAAAAGCACTTAACAAATGTTTGATTGAGTTCAGACATCAGACGACTGCACTGAAATTCTCCAATCCAGAAATGAATCCTGCAAATTCCCCGATGGACGTCATGTGTGCTGTAGGGTTTGTGTGTTTCCTCTAAAACTGTACAGTCCTCTCTTCTTTGACATGAATAGTGTTTAGTGAAATACGATTTTCTTTTAGCATGCAGCATGGGATACAATTCTTGTACATTTTGTACAGATGCTTTTGAATTCTCTAGAGAACTGAAGTATAAAGGTAGAGGTACTTGAATCATTAAATACGCTTTTGTAAATGCGGTTCTTTGTATTTAGCCACTTTTATATTGCCTGTGTGTGTACCAGTATACATCATGTACTGTATATTCTACCTGTAATATGTAAGAACTTCAATACAAATGGACAGAATTCATCACCAAATGTTGACGCTTTTTTAATTTCAACCACTTCTCCTCATTTGGGTTTATTTAGTTAGAGGGATGTTTGTGGAGTGGATGGGATTTCTGTAGTAATGGAGACCACTCTGGTGCCAATTCCACAACATTTGATATTGTTACACTTGTTTCATTCATGTCGCTCATGTGATGAACAGACAGTTATTTTAACTTTTTTATTTCTCTTGGGCTATTCTATTATTTAACTCTAAACAATTTCATGTATTTGTTCTCAAATATTCATTAAATTCTGACTTTTTATCTCAATAGCAAGACAGATGATTTATTCACCAACCAGCAGTTGTGTATTTATTATATTTTTTGTACCACATAATTAATCCACCCTTGATGTCATTTTTTGCTCGTACTTCCTTTAGAATTAAATCTGAATAGTCCACACTGTAGAGGCTTTAATTTCATATTTGAGGATTATTTTCTGAGATAAAAAAACATAAATTAGGAATAATAATAATAATTGGTTGACGGACTTCTTCACTAAGCCTCTTGCAGGTATTTCTTAGTTTGTAATAATAGTTTCAGCAATGAAAATAACATTGAGTTATATTTTTCATCCTGAAACATAGGGTTCAATTAAGAAACGTTGCTTTATCAAACATTCCCATGTTTAAAGTTATTCAATTAATGTTTATAATCATTTTTAAAGATAAAAATAGGCACATTTATTTACTTATAATTATAATTGTATCCTTTATTTTGCAACAAAATCAATAAATTAAAGATATTATACCGTTGCGTGTATGATAAGTAATTCACCCTTAAAGCCTGGATTTGAACAAAGTATGCCTCAAATTCAGAGAAAAAACCAAATCCCTTTCAAATTACCTCTCTGGTTTTATTGGTTTTAATACAACACACACAACTAGAACTATAGCCAATCAATCTCCTCCAGCTATAAAGCTTTCCATGTGAAAGGCAGTAAAGAATGGCTCAGAGTGCCATAGTGTGCTTTTACGCTCGTAGCGAACAACTCTGTAACAAAAATGATTTCTGCGGATCATTGTTTTTTTCTCCTTTCAACACACTATCTAATATTGAAACGGTCAACGCAGGGTACTTGCCACCTATTAGGAAGATACCGGCTCTGATGTCCTCCTCCACACTGCTCTGGGTGTGCACAGATCACAGACTGTAAATATTATTTATGACTGAAACAACATTTGGAACTTATCTTAATTGATGGTTAAAAAATTACCTCGAGATATAAAACTCAAAGTCTTATTGCCATTTTGCTACTACATGTAACAAAGAATAGACAATATACAAATAAACAAATTCCTTTTCTCATCTCAAAGTATTTCTTGTTGTTTGATTGAAGAACCTTGTGTCTTTCCTTAAAAGATGTGCAATATAAATACATGTATTCTCATTACATTCACCTGGTAAACCTCCTTTTAAGGAAAAGGAAGGAAGGTGTTATATGACTTACTTAACATTTGGAATGTGCAAGCAGTGGTGGAAGAAGAATCCAGATGCTTTACTTGAGTCAAATATTGTCAAAACATTGAATTACAAATCGCACCATCACCCCAGCCACAAACTGTTCAGTCTGCTGCCGCCTGGCAGGCGTTACCGCAGCATCCGGACAAAAACAACCAGATTCAGAGACAGCTTCATCCCGCAGGCAATAAGACTGTTAAACACCTGAACTGCTGAAACAATTTCATAACATTCATCTGCTACTTAGTAATTATGTATCTATTGTCTAATACAGTGGTTCTCAACCTGTGGTACGCCAGCTCCCGCTAGTGGTACGTGGAGGAATCTGACATATAAAAAAAAAAAAAAAAAGATTAATTTATTTTTTTATTTTTTTATTCAAAGGTGGGGTACTGTAGGTCAGGGGTTTTCAAAGTGTGGGTAGGTGAGCCTCCCCTCAGAGAACATAAGAACAGCCGCGCCCCCCCTCCCAATTATTATTG